TAAAAAAACACACTTTCTTTATTGATGGGCATTTAGGCTGTTTCCATGTTTTAGCTGTTACAAACTGTGCCACTATGAATGTGGGTGAGCATATATCACTGTGGTGTGATTCTTTTAATTCTTTTGGGAAGATGCCCAGCAGTAGGATAGCTGAGTCAAACGGGACTTCTAATCCTAGTTCTTTGAGGAATCCCCATACTGATTTCCACAGTGGTTGCACCAGTCTGCACTCCGACCAACAATGGAGAAGGGTTCCTTTCACCCCACAACCCCGCCAGCATTTGTTATTGGTTGATTTCTTGGTAGCAGCCATTCTTTTTGGGGTGAGGTGGAATCTCAGAGTTGTTTTCATCAGCATCTCTCAAGTGACCAGTGATGCTGAACATTTTTTCATATGATTATTTGCTGCTTCTACTCCTTTGTCTGAGAAATGTCTGTTCATTGCAGATGCCCATTTTTGGATTGGGTCTTTAAATTTGGGAGGTCTGATTTTTTTTTTTTAAGTTCTCTATGTATTCTAGATAGTAGTGAGGAACAGCTGGTGAAAATTTTTTCCTACATTGTGGGTTTTCTCTTCATGATGTTGGTGGTTTCTCTTGCTGTGCAGAAGCTTTTTAATAAGAAGACATCCCACTTGTTGGTTCTTTTGCACCAGTTCATATGCAGCTGAGGTTTTGTTCATGAAATCTTTTCCTCTGCCAATGTCTTCAGAAGTTCTACCTAACCTCTTTTCTAGTTGATTTAGTGTTTCTGTTTTAATATTTAGATTTTTAATCCATTTTGATTTTAGTCTAGTGCATGGTGAGAGATACAGGTCTAGTTTTAATCTTTGGCAAGTTGAAACGCTGTTTTTCCAGCACCATTTATTAAACAGGTATCTTTCCTCCAGTGTGGGTGTTTGGCTCCTTTGTCAAAGATGAGGTGGCTGAGTGTGTCTGGAGTTGTTTCTGCATCTTCTAATCAGTTCCACCGGGCCTCAGGTTTCTTTGCCAATACCATGCTGTTTTTAACACATTAGCTTTGTAGTATAGCTTCAAGTTGGGGATTGTGATTACCCCCTTCTTGTCTTTGTTGCCTAGAATTACTTTTGCTATTCTAGGTCTCTTCTGGTTCCAAATGAATTTTTGGATTGTTTTCTCAAGGTCTGTGAAGTATGCTTGTTGTCTCAGCATAGTTTATCTTGAGGAAGAACTGGTTTAGGTGAGTTTTAGAGAAGGAAAAAGACTTTCATCAACCTCTCTTCAGAGGGAAGAGGCATCGGGTTCTCTCCTACAGTTATGGGCAGAACCTTAAATCAATATAAATAATTTTCAGTGATCAACATCTGAATCCTCAAACTGTCCTGCAACAGCTGGCATAGTATCTGCTTCCATATTGTCATAGTCCTTAGGAATCTTGTGTCCGCACCCCAGCCATGTTACACTGGCTGCTCACAGACTGGGAAAGCATCCCTTTCAGTCTCTCCAGTGAGGCTTGCCCTTCTGCTGTTAGACGGGATAATCCTCCTTCATGGGTATAAGGTGTGGGGTTATTCCCCTGTCCTTGTTCCTGAGCTTCCACCTCATGTTCTTCTGCATCATAATCACCAGAGCCTTCACCCTGGGTGCAAGGCCTGGTGTCCACACATTGCAATGGACATCGCCTCCAGTGCTGCCATCACTCGGCACAAAGTTCAATTCAGTAATAGGTTCGATGTCATCATCATGGTCTTCCTCTTCTTCATCATCAAGAGAGTCTTTTATTTCTTCTCAAATTTAGCATTCACCATAGCATGCAGATGTCCTCATGGATAGGCATTTAGGTCCCTGGAAACAGCATGTAAACTAACAGTGAGAATCCTACTCTGGAACCATCTAACGGAGACAGGTGGCTCTTTGCAATGGAAAGGGTGCCAGTGCCAAGGCTTTTCCCACTCAGCACAGCCTCAGTGTCTGGCTGCTGGTGCCGGAGCCCCTTGGCTGTCCCAGCGGTGGTGGAAAACTGAGAAAGCTCATTGCAGCTGGGAGCATCGAAACACAGGTTTCGAAGGAGCTGGGCCACAGCAGTCACCGTTCACAGTGGCCCACCCTGAAGTCCCAGAAGTACTCTGATAACAAAGCCAGACAAAAACACCACAAGAAAACTCTCATGAACATGTGCCTTACAGACATTGATGCAAAAACCCTCAGCAAGATCCTGGTGACTGAATTAAGCGGCAGACTGACAGGCTTTCCATCTGACCAAGGTGGGACTCATTCCTGGAAGGCAGGGCTGGTTCAACATGCGAAAGTCGTTGTGGTTGCTGTGTTATCAGAAGAAAGGGGGAGAATCACAGCCCTATTCGTCTAGTGCAGGAAAAGCCTTTGATGAGTTCACTACCCTGTGAGGGTACCCAGAACCTCTACCTCAAAGAAAGAGAGTCTGTTGGGAAAGCTCACAGCAAGCACCGAATTCAGTGGGGAAAAGCTGGAAGTTTCTTCTGAGGTCGGGAACAGTGAAAGAAGCCGGCCTTTCTCTGTTCAGCCCAAGCTGGAAGTTCTAGCCTGAGAAACTAGGCAAGAAACAGAAATAAAAGCTGTCACCACTGGAAAAGGAGTAAGAGCATCTGTCTCTCTCTGCAGATAACATGATCTTATGTAGAGAAAACCTTAAATATTCTGTCCCGAAGCTTTGTTCCAACTGATACATCTGTATGGTAGCAAGCAGCACATGAAGAAAATTCAAAATTAAGTATCATTATTTCTAAACTCTTAAGTATGAACAGTCTGAAGTTAAGGAAACAATTTAGCTTAAAATTGCATAAAAAAGAATACACTTAGGAATTAACTAAAGAAGAAAAGCTCACACGAGAATGAGTGGACACAACGGTGTTCTTGGAGCAGCAGACTGCAAAGTGTTGAGGTGTCCATGTCACTCAGAGTGATCAGCCTGTTCGTACAGTTGCTTAAAACCTCAACAGTTGTTCACAGAAATAGGGGCACCCACCCTAAAATTCATACTGTGTGTCAGTGGGCAATAGATGCCAAATCTCCAGAGCAACCTTGAAAAAGAATAAATCCAGAAATGTCACATGATGAATTTAAAATTCAGTACAAATCAACGCTGTGTGAGCCTGGTGTAGACACTCGTGCAGACCAGGCAAGCGAAGGACAGACCCAGGGTTGTACCCTCAGGGTGTCCAGGGTCCAGTCGGGGTGGGCATCTGCACACGAAGTAAGGTGTGCCTACTCCATCTAACCCTGTGTAACATCTGAAGTGGGCTAGTGATGCAAGCACACGAAAACTTCAGGCAAAGGTATGATATGTTGGGGTTGGCAGTGATCTCTTAGATATAACATCATGGGCACAAGCACTAAGAAAAATTGAATCTCATGAAAATTTTAAAAATGCGTTCTTCAGAAGTCACTATCAATAGACTAAAAATAAACTGGCAGAATGGGAGAGAGATATTTACTCCGTTTATTCAAGAATCACATATGTGATAACGGATTTTTTTTTTTTTTTTTTTTTGACAGGGTCTTACAGTATAGCTCAGGCTGGCCTTGAACTCACTGTGTAGCCCAGGCTGGCCTGAATTGGCAGCAGTCCTCCTGCCTCAGCCTCCCAAGTACTAGGACCACACCGCACCCAGCTGTGATAATCGATTTATACCCAGAATACATAGGAAATAACAACAAACAGCTCAGAAATGGGCATAGGACTTCAGTAGGCACTTCTTTGTAGAACCAAGCTTGTGAAAAGCTGCTCTCCATTACTAATCATGAGGGAGATGCAAATCAGAACTGCAGTGAGTGACCCCTGACCCCCAGGATATCTGCTGCTAGGAGCACGAAACAGGAAACAGCCTGTGTTGCTGGGGTGTGGAAGATGGTAGCTTGCACACTGTTGTCAGGAACATAAAATGGTATAGTTGCTTTAAGAAATTGGTGATTCTCAAAAATTAAAAATAAAGCTGAGTGTGGTGGTGCACACTTGTGATCCCAGCTACTCAAGAGGCTTAGGCAGGAGGGTCGGAGTTCCTGGCCAGCCTGGGCAACTTGCTGAGACCCTGTCTCAAAAAGAATGAAAGGGGCTGGGGTGTGGCTCTGGTGAGGGCCCCAGTTTGCTCCCCAGTGCCACAGATAAGAGGAGATGAGAGCGGAATCTGTGGCCCAGGACCATGAAGACATGGAGTACTCATGTGAGCGCCATTGGGCTGGCAGTGAGGACATGGTCATACACTAAGAGATAGCACTGCGCCCTCCTGGCAAGAACCAGGGCCGTAGGAGAAAAGAGGGCTCCCTCCAACCCCCAAAAGGGCCAGGGATGTAGTTCAGTGGCACCGCGCCTGCCTCACAAGTGCAAGGTCGTGAGTTCGGTCCCCGATACAAAAAATAAGAGGCTCTGGGGCTGTTGTTTAATGGGTTGAAAGAGTTCCCATTTCCAAGAGGAGATGGATGGTGGTAATGGTTGTACAACATTGTGAGTACTGAAATGTACACTAAAAAACATCAGTGTAATAAGCTGAGATGTTTGGTGTGTGCCTGTAATCTCAGTACTTGGGAGGCTAAAACAGGAGGATCTCAAGTTCAAGCCCAGCTGGGCAACTTGGTGGCTCAGTGAAACCCTGTCTCAAAAAATAAAAAAGGGCTGGGGTTTCAGCTTCGTATGAAGGTCCCAGGTTCAGTCACCAGTACCACTTTTTTAAAAAGTTAATGTAATTTTGTATATATCTTTTTTTTTTGGTACCGGGAATTGAACTCAGGACCTTGCACATGCAAGGCAGGCACTGTGCCACTGAGCTACATCCCTGGCCCTTGTGTTCTATTTTAATGTAATTTAAAAATAAGGGCAGGAACCCTAGAAAGGGAAAGGTCTTTTACATATCTCATGTTCTTCCCAGCTGTGCGCGTTTCCAGCTAGGAATCTGTGGGCTTTACCAGTGATGCTTTCCTCTTCTTTCTGACTTGTTCTGTCCTTGTTTTCCATTGGGAAAGTGTATCAGCCTCTGGATTAATCCACTCTGTCTGTTTGCTCTTTAGGGGAAGACAGAGTCCATTACCGTGGTGAAGCTGCTGAGCTGCTTCGATGACCTGGTGGCAGCTGGCACGGCCTCTGGGAGGGTTGCAGTTTTCCAGCTCGTGTCCTCACTGCCAGGAAGGAACAAGCAGGTAGGCGCTCAGCAAATTCTTAGTGGATTTGTTGTTGTGTTTTTTGAGACAGGGTCTCACTATGAGCGCAGGCTGGCCTTAAACTCACTGTGTAGCCCAGGCTGGTCTTGAACTCACAGAGATCCTCCTGCTTCAGCCTCCCAAGTGTGGGGATAACTGGTGCTTGCCACCACACCCAGCTCTCATGGATTTAAAAATTAGAGACCCTCATGTGCCTAGCAAATGTATGCTTGGAAAATTGTAATTCTGTGCTGTTTCTAATCAGGAGTGCTTTTGTTCCCCCGTGGACCCTTGGCATAAAGCATGTGGGGCCCTGTGAGGCCTGGGGACACGCTGGGTGTCTTGTCTGTGGGTCCCAGGTGCGCAGATGGAGCCATTTCCCCACAGCCCGAGCCTCAGCGGGTCACACTTGCCCTGCCTTTGTTTTATTGGCTGCTCGTAGCTTCGGAGATTTGACATCACTGGAGTGCACAGAAATAGCATCACCGCGCTGGCCTGGAGCCCCAATGGGATGAAACTGTTCTCAGGAGACGACAGAGGGAAAATCGTGTACTCCTTTCTGGATCTGGACCAGGTAACAGTTATAGACTGCCGCAGGCCCTTCCCACTGACAGTGGGGCGATTATATTCCGATTGTGTTTGCAATTTGTAGTTGGGTTTTTGATCGAAGTTTCTGTTCATTGCATCTGTTATCTGCAACATTTTCTTTCCTGATTTTTTCCAAATCTTTGTAAGTTCCTGTTTCTTTGACTCAAGAGTTGGCCTGCTACAGCATTCACTTTATTTTTTTAAATTTCCTGATATATAAAAGTTGCACACCCTTCAGGGTTGCCATGTGACATCCTAATACATGTGCATGTTGTGAATATTCAAATCCACATAGATGTTTCTAGCACTTTTTCTTTTAGGTGCTGGGAATTGAGCCTAGGTCTTTTGCACTGAGCTGCTTCCCCACAACTCACTGAGTTGCTAATTGCCCAGGCTGGGCTTGAACTTGTGACCTTCCCACCTCAGCCTCCCAGAGTGCTGGGATTATGCTCCTGGGCTGTGTCTAGCACTTAACCCTTATGTGAAACACTTGATTTTCACTTTGCTATTCTTACTGCTAGTGCTTAGAAAAGAAGACACGGTTGTCATTCAAACCGTTTTCCAGTTCCCCAGTGGACAGAGGTTGGTGTCCCAGCAAATGGAGAACTCACAGTCACAACCCAGACCGCAATGATGAGAAGGGAACATGTCAGGGCAGGGGGCAGCCAAGGGTCAGGGCCTTTGTGCCAGGGTGGGCGCAGGTGCACATACCCGGCTCTACCCCGCCCCTGGGCTTTGCGATGTTTGTGTTTTTGTTCTTCTGGGCACCCACTGGGCAGACCCTACTGCTCCAGCCCTGTCTGGTCCTCTTGGCTTCCCCACAAGTGACTGACTAGCCCAACTTGCTGGGGCTGTGTGGAAGTCGCTAGCCCAGTTTGTACCTCAGTGACCGGCCTCCTGTGTGCTTGGAAAGACGGTGAGGAAGAGCTTTGGTTGTGTGGATCGTATCTATCAAGTCTGCCATGCTGGAAATTAAAAAGGAGGAATTTCAAAATATTAATTATAATTTGAAATAATAAATCCACTATATATTAGCAGAGATACCTTTTTTGTTTTGGTACCAGCGATCAAACTCAGGACCTTGTGCTTGTGAGTCAGCACGAGGTGGAAGCACTGAGCTAAATCCCCACCCCCAGAGATACCTTTTTAAAAAATGAAAATACCTATTTAAAAGCAACTGAGAAGAGTGGCATTACTTTATATTTTTACAGATTTCTCTGATGCCTGACTTAGCTAGTCATGGGGGCACATGCCTGCAGTCCCAGCACTCTGGGAGGCTGAGGCAGGAGGACCCAAGTTCAGGACCAGCCTGGGCAAATTAGTGAGACCCTGTCTCAAAATGAAGATTTTAAAAAGGGCTGGAAATATAGCTCAGGGTGAAGGCTCTGGGTTCAATCCCCAGTGCCAATAAAAAAAAAAAAAAAGGAAGGAAGGCAGGAAAAAACATTTGGCTTACTGGAAGACAGTGTTGCTGCATGTGCCGTGGTTAAAATCTGGCCTCACAAAGACATGCAGAGAATGTAGGAGGAGAATTGTGACAAAAGGGGTTTCCTGCGGGTGACAGTTAAAATGACACATGGTGGCTGCCATACAAGTTATTGTAGGGCCTGACGCCACAGGGGCGAGCTCTTCTGCCAGGCTGCTTCACACTTAGGACCTTTTACCCAGGTGCGATTTCTGTCCTCGTAATGTGTGGTGCTGTGCACCTTTTTGGTGTTGACACCAAATTACTCAAACTATTCAAACAAGTTGGAATAATTTGTTGTTGTTTTTTGTTTTGGGCTTCTTGAGACAAGGTCTCACTATGTATTCCCGGCTGCCCTTGTACTCCCAAGCTGGCTCAAACTCACGTTGATCCTCCTGCCTCTGCCTCCCATGAGCTGGAATTACAGGTGTGCACCCCCATGAATGGCGACACACTGTATTTACACATCACCACCCACTTTGTCCATTTGACAAGAAAGAGCGGCTGGTCGAGACCAGTCCTCACCTGGAGATAACAAATACTATCGCTTGTTTTCCTTGAAGTGATAGGCTCCCTTTTTCTTAAATATTTGCCAAATACCCAAGTTTGAATAATTATTATTTCAAGTCAGATTGGTGCTCTGTGAAGAAGCCAGCTGGCTCACCTCCCAACTCCAGTGAGGCTCGAGGCTTTTCCTGAAGAAAACCAGCCTGCCTCAATGCACAGAAGGGCTGCATGTGCACATCCTGGTGTATCACATCACACGCAGAAATCTCTCTCTTAAGGGTGGAGACTGAGATCATCGTTTCTTTGCTGAGAATTCTTCACTGAGGTCCGGTTTTACCACACCATGTGGTGGTGAAGGGCATGGTGCCTGCGGCAGCATCTGCTCCATTGGCACAAAGGACAGACAGAATTTTAGAGTGATCGTGAAAATAATTTTGGCTTGGAGAGGGCCTCGGATCTAGGCAGAGCAGGCATCAGGGGCCCTTTCCCCTCCTGTGAGAAACCCAGACTCCGAGCCTGCCCACCACTCTGTGGAGGAAGCAGCTGGCTGTGAGCCTCTGGAAGCTGAGGTCCTTGGTCCCTGGGGACACAGGCACTGCAGGACACTGGTGCACAGGAGGTCCCAGCAGACATGTGTTGCCCATTGCTGTGAAATGCACTTTGAGTTCATCATGAGCTGTGTTAAAAACGGAAAAGCTGCACCCCGAAGAGCTTCACAGGGAAGGGACACTTCCTTCCGCCTCCTCTGTGTGGGGATGAGCGCAGTGGAAGTTACATAACTACCAAGTTTTTAAAAAATTGTAGAACCGGGCTGGGGATTTAGCTCAGTGTTCCCACCACCTGCCTCACAAGCACAAGGTCCTGATTTTGATTCCCAGTACCAAAAAAAAAAAAAAAAAAAAAAAAAAAAAAAAAAATTTTTACCCACACAAAAAAAAAAAAAAAAAAAAAAAAAAAAAATCATAGAACCACACACCCAAAAGTGATGAACTTTACTGTATATAAATTTTGCCCATAAATCTGCCCAGTCTCCCCTTGCCACTCAAATATTACAGCCCTTTTTTTGTATTGAGCATTGAAGCCAAGGCCTTCTCTGAATACATCTCCAGTCCTTTTTTCTTTTTTCTTTTGAGATAGAATCTCACTAAGTTGCTAGGTTGCCCGAGCTGGGCTCAAACTTGTAATCCTCCTGCCTCAGCCTCCCAGAGTTCTGGGATTGCAGGCTTCTAATACCATGCCTGCAGTAATATTTCTTAGTCAACAAAACTACTTCAGGAGAAGAGTGATTCACAGAAGCCAGTGTTTGATGCCATGAAAAGTAGTTTGTGTCAGTAGTAAAATGCCTGCTAGAATATACTGTATGTGTGTGAGTTGTTTTGCATTAATACCGCCATATGTATTTTCTTTTTTGGTACTGAGGATCAAACTCAGGTCCTCGTGCTTGCATGGCAGGCAGCAAAACCACTGAGCTAAATCCCTGGACCCTGTCACCTTGTGTATTTAATGCCAGGATGACTTCTTCCTAACCTCTCCTGTCCTGGGCCCCTTTCAGCTAGCAAGATGATCATGTTCTCTGATGGCCTTGACTGCGTGTGGCTGGACAGCAGCAGGAGAGCTTATCACTGTCACCATAATCCATAGCAAGTCCCCTTTCACTGGATATTGAAATAGAATAACATGAGTAGCATGACATGTTTCTGTTTAGATCTTATGGATTCCTCTTTGAACTCTTTCTTTACTGGGATCATTTTAAGGAAAATGGCTCACACTGTTGACTGACCCTATGAAACCCATAGTGTGGTGGGGACCCCAACGTCCCCGCCTGGGCTGACCTGAGCCCCACACAGGACAGCAATTGTCTCACAGGCAGCCTCCGTCTTCATAGGGGCTCTGCAGCTCACTGCTGGTGCTGGAGGAGCCGGCGTCTATCGTGCAGCTGGATTACAGCCAGAAGGTGCTTCTTGTGTCCACCCTGCAGAGGAGTCTGCTCTTCTACACTGAGGAGAAGTCTGTGCAGCAGATCGGGACGCAAGCGAGGAAGAGGTGAGCTGCGTTTTCAACTCACTCCGGCCAGGCCATGGGACCGAGCAGCTGCTAGGGGCCCCTCTTTGCTTGTGCAAGAAGCCACAGGGACCCACGGCTGCAGTGCTCCTCTTGGTGCCCAGGCCCATGTCCCCTCCCAGGTGGAGCCCTCCACAATGCCCAGGAAACAGCCTGTGGCCTCTGCCACCAGCCTGCGGGGGATGGTAGGGAAGGGAGGCAGAGAGAAGGGAGCAGGAGTGGGATGAGTGGGGAGCAGAGGGTGGCACAGGGGCGGTTGTGGCTGGTGGGGGCTGAGGCCTCCCATCCATGTCCTCCCTGCTTGGCCTTATTGATGGAGCAGGTGGTGCCGGGCCAAGCACGGGGAGCACAGGGAGAGGGGCAATGTGGTGAAGCCTCAGGCTGGTGGTGCTAGGAGCAGGAGGGGGTGAGCTCACCAGTGAGGGAGTCCCTGCTGTCCCCATGTGATATGTTGGGCAGCAGCACAGGGCTTTATTCTCCCTTCTGCACAAGTCCCTTGACCCTTAGAGAGGCCACCTCCCCCACTCTGTGGCCTGTGGTGCCTCACTGGGTCCTCGGCGGTCTGTGACCACAGTCTCCGGCAGAATCCCTGCAGAGCAGGTTCGGGGCAGGTCAGCTCCCTGGGTCCCACCGCCTGGAGCCAGGTCCTGGCCCGCCTGGCACTGCCTTGCCTTGCGGTGCCTGCTGGGTGGCAGCGTGGGTGAGAGCAGAGCCAGGCCACACTCAGCATTGCCCCTCAGACCTGGTATCCTGGGAGGCTTGGGGACCTCTCCTGGGCATGGCAAGGTCAGGCCTTCCGCAGCCGAAGTGTCCAGTGTGCCAGGCCCTGTTGCAGTTACGTAAGGCGAACAAACCTAGACAGAGGTGACCAGAGTTTAAGAGGTCTTATAAATAGAAATTTTAAAAGTAGGTCACCAAGCCAGGCATTGTGGCATTCACTTAGAATCTCAGCACTCTGGGAGGCTGAGGCAGGAAGAACACAAGTTCCAGCCCAGCCTGGACAACTTGGCAAGACCCTGTCTTAGAGTAAAAAATGGCTGGGAATGTAGCTCAGTGGGTTCAGTTCCCAGTGCTAGGGGGGAAAAAAAAAATCACTGAACAGAAATTGGCCTGACTAGAAAGGCAAGAGGGAACCGTTCTGAGCTGCCTCGGGATCCCTTTGGGCCTCTGTGTAGACTCCTTTCCTGGTTGAGCCCACCAGAGTCCGTTGTCAGTTCCCAAAGCTTCAGAATCACACCCTTCTGGGGCTGGACGGGCTGGCATAGGGAGGCTGAGGCAGGAGAATTGCAAATTGAAGTCCAGTCTGGTCAACTTGGTGAGGACCACCCCCTCCAAATAAATTCTAGAAGGGGCTGGGGGTGCAGTTTGGCGTTAGAGCGCTGCTGAGTTCAGTCCTTTGTACTGATAGACATCTGTAGGATGGTCTGCTGGTCTTTGCTCCACAGCTGAACTCCATACGTGGTACCCTCCTTGGACACTATCTATAGGGATTTAGTTACTGAGGGCTCCCAGCCTAGTGAGATCACCATAGGCGGAGAAGGAAGGGGGACCAGTTACCCAGATTCTTGTTACTAGCAGGGTTGGCAGCTGCATCACTGTAAATCAGCCCATGCCTGGTTTTTTCTTTCTTTTTTCTCCTCATTGTAGTACTGGAAAATTTGGTGCTTGTTTTATACCAGGACTGTGCAAACAGAGCGACCTTACTGTGTATGCGGCCCGGCCTGGGCTGCGACTGTGGAAGGCTGACGCGCAGGGCACAGTGCAGGCCACCTTCATCCTGAAGGATGTCTTTGCTGGTGGGGTCACGCCCTTCGAGCTGTACCCACGTGTGGAGCCCGCAGACAAGGGAGGCTGCAGCTCCCCCGAGAAGCACCTGGGGCTAGTGTCCTGCTTCTTCCGGGAAGGCTGGGTGCTGAGCTGGAACGAGTATAGCATCTACCTTCTGGACACTGTGAGCCAGGTGAGTGGTAGCCACGGCCGCAGGTGTTGGGTCTGCCCAGAGAGCGAGTCCCTGGGGGCCCTGCTCTGGTCCCTGACCCCAGTGCTGTGCCTGACCTTTGGGCTGTTCCATGGAATGGAACGAAGATTTAGTCATATTTGTGGATTTGAAAAAATAATTTGCTTTTTAAATTCATAATTGTACTTACCCTGCCGGGAAATGATGTATATGTTTCATGTGAAGTGCCAAGCTAAACTCTTTCCTTATAGGCTGTCTGGACCGTGTTCTTTCTTTTTCCTTTTCCCCCAGTGCTGGGAATGGAACCTGGGGCCTAGCGGTGCCCCCTAAGCACACGTTACCCCTGAGCAGCACCCCAGTGCCATGCCTCTTCTGATGCCAACAAAATGTGATACTCAGTGAAAACTCAGAGCAGGGCTGTCCCCAGCACAGGGCAGGGGTCTCTCTTACCCTTGTTCTTACCCAAATGAAGTCCTGTTATTCTGCCAGGTTTTTTTAAACTTAATGACCTGTTGGGGTAACTTTCTAGTATTATTAAACCATGGTAGGGCTAGGGATTTAGCTCAGTGGTGCCGCCGCCCACCTCAAAAGCACAAGGTCCTGAGTTCCATCCCCAGAACCCCCCAAAAAAACCATAATAGGAAACACTTTCTGTTTGTGTCAGGATGGTAAAAGATCACTGTTAGAGACAGTCAGGACATTAAAGAAAGTGGTACATTCATTCTCTTCTGGTCATAAGAGCAAAGCTTTGCCTGCCTCTCCCCGCCCCCCAGAAGTCACCCACATTCCCGAGGGGCCAGTCCTGTGAGCTCTACTGTGAGCCCGAGGGTGGCAGAGCCACACTGGAGGAAGCAAAGGGCTTTCTCGCCAGGCACTGTCAGCAGAAATGAAGTCATCTGCTCCCTGTCAAAGGCTCTTCATCATATCCATCAGCCCAGCCTGGTAATACTGGTTTGGTAAAAATCTGAGCCTTGAGCCTCTTGCTTTGCAGGCCTCGCCTGCCTGAGCTTGGTTTCCTGACCGATGAAGTGGGGTGGTGGTACTGGGGAAGGGGCCACCTCATAGCTCTTCGTTCACTTCATTGATGAGGGATATTTCAGAAAGCAGTTTTTATACCCTTTGCCAATTATGGGTAACTTCTCTTCTTTCCCTGGGCTCCTTTGGAGCTCATTAATTAGTGGTGTCAGGATAGTCTGTAATCTCATACAAGCCCTTGTCACCTGAGCTTTGCCCATAGGTATAATTAACCTCATTCCCAGCCAGGACTGGGAAACAGGATGGCCAGGGTCAGGTCTGTGCCTCCCGTCTTGCAAGCCAGGGTTCTGCTTCCAGCCATCTGCTGAGCTATCTGAAAATTAGCAGGGACACAGGCCTTTTGTCTTACGCAGGGAACCAGTCTGTTACTTGCACTGTTGGCTGAAAAGCACCAACGACCTGGGGAGGTGGCATCTGAGTAAAACTGGAAGTCCCCAGCAACAGGGACCAGAATGGAATCTGAGCAGAGAAAAAAAAAAGCATGTGCAGTTTTCAGCTGAGTGTCGTGGCACAGGCTTATAATCCCAGCACTCTGAGAAGCTGAAGCAGGAGGATGGCAAGTTTGAGCCCAGCAAGACCTTGTTTGGACTTAGCAAGACCTGTCTCAAAAAACAGGCTGATGGGCTGGGGATTTAGCTTAGTGGTGCCACCACCTGCCTCGCAAGTGCAAGGGTTCAGAGTTTGATCACCAGTACCAAAATAAATAAATTACAAAAAAAAAAAAAAATAGGCTGAGGATATGGCTCGTTGCAAAGACTGAGTTCCATTCACTGTACCACACATGCATATATATATTTGTGTGTGTGTGTGTGTGTGTGTGTGTGTGTGTGTGTGTCTGCGGTATATATACATACATATATATATGTATGTATCCAATCTTTAGAGCTCGGTGCAGTGGCACACACTTCTGATCCTAGCTACCCAGGAGGGTGAAACTGGCAAAATCACAAGTCACAATCCAGCCTGGGCAACTGAGATTTTGTCTTTAAATAAATAAAAAGGGCTGGGGATGTAGCTCAGTGAAAGAGCAATGTTGGCTTCAATTCCCAGTTCCTTAAAAACATTTTTTTTCAGAAAGTTGTCATAACAAAGTGGTAGCTGTCACTTGATTTGTTTGGGTTCTTACACGTACTTTTTTATGCTTTGAACTGTTACTATTACTGGTTTGAAGTTTTTATTTATTATCTGTTTTAACAGGCCACCATTGCTGGTTTAGAAGGATCGGGTGATATTGTGTCAGTTTCCTGCACAGAAAATGAAATCTTTTTCTTGAAGGGAGACAGGAACATCATCAGAATTTCGAGCAGGCCTGAAGGACTAGCACCTGTAGGTTCGTAATGAATGTAAAGTGTGCCATGCACCCAAAGAGAACGGCGCGCTGTGGTTTGTAGTTAGACTTATCATTACCGGCTCGGCTGTGGCAACTTAAATAAGCGAGTATGTTTGTTGGTAGTTCACACAGCCCCAGATTTGGGTGTGGGAGCCCTGACCCCATGTAAGCACCATGGGGCTTACAGGAGGGCCGCTGCCGTCTAGGACCCACCACAGCAATGACTGCTCCGAGGCTGCTGGCCCTGCTGAGCACCCAAAGTTTACATTTTGTACTCTTAGCTGAATGTGAACAAGTCCCTGTGGCTGGTGGCTGCCATCTCGGGCAGTGGGCTCTAACTGATTTTGCGGCCTCTGACAGGTTGCCCCGAGCAGTTCCTGCCCCTGGCTCATGACAAATGACCCTAGCAGGTTGGTGCCATGAGCCAGGCCCTGCGCCCAGCACCAGTGATACTGAGTGACGAGGATAGCTGGTGCGCTGGTGTCTGTGTTGAGGGGCTGGCCTGAGGCCTGGGTCCCTGCAGGGACTCATTCACCACTCGCAGTCTCGGGACAGGCGTGGGACCCCTGGTCTGCCACCCTGGCTCTGCTCTGAGCTTGTGCTGACGCTGACCTCCTGTATTTCCTCCATCTGGAGTTCGTGCCAGCAGGAAGTTACTTATCCTGCTTTGCAGTTCAGGAAACTTCGTTATGAGTGCACATGTGTTTTTCAAATGTCCTTTGAGTCAAACAGGTATATTCAAGGCATAGTGTAAGTATGACATATAGCTAAATAGTAAAGACTTTTTTAAGATTAAGAATTTGTGAGTTAGGGCCAGGGATTTAGCTTAGTGGCACCAAGCCTTGCTGACCTCACTCATGCAAGGTCCTGAGTTCGATCCCTGTACCAAAAAAAAAAGAATTTGTGATTTGAGATAAGAAATGCCATATACTTGGTTGCTTTCCCTCACTGCTGGTCAGGAGATGCCAGCAGGAGTGAGTTATTTTCCTGATTCCAGTACATGTGCTACTTCCTTTCACATACCCTGGGTGCCTATGGACACAGAGTTGCCCAATTCCTCAGCTGAAGGCTGGGCTCCCACTGCCAGCCAGTTCCCAGGGAGCAAAGTCTCATGGGCAGCAGTGCTTACCCAGCTCCTCTCACACAGCAAGAGATGGTCTGGAGGTGGTGCGGTGTCCCGAGCAAGTACACGCTCAGGGTCTGGAGAAGCCCCTGGGGACAGCCACCTTGGAGATGAGGCTCAGAGGCTCCTCCCTGGCCAGCTCAGCCACCAGTGAGCCCCGCAGCAGGAGCAGCTCGCTCACCTCTACCGACAGCGGCTCCAGCCTGCTCCCGTCCGCTCCCCTGGCTGCCCCAGAGTCCGGTAAGGGCAGCCAGCCCACCTCACAGAGATTCAGCACCATCAGTTCGGAGGACTTCGAGCAGGAGCTGGTTGTGAAGCCCATCAGGGTGAAGAGGAGGAAGAAGAAGAAGAGGACAGGTGCGTCTGTCCCTTGGGTGTGCCTGTCTACAGGTGCTGGAGAGGCAGTGATGGTCTCCGAAAAATGAATGTGCGCCCCCCCCGCCTCCCTGCAGAGTGTTCTGTAGACTAGCAGAAAACACACATGCACAGGCACAAGGCATCTCAAAGGTGCAAGTGACCCTAGAGCATGTGTCTACACCCCACGGGGGGGCTGGCTTTTGTTCTTCTCTGTGGGGACTGTGTGCCAGGCCAAAGATTCTGCAGGCTGAGGTGGGGTCATGGCCCAGGGGAGGTTGGTGCTGGTGGAGCTGGGACATTGCACATTAGCTCTGGCCCATCATCAGACCCAGGCTTGACATGGACCATTTCAAACTGTGTATGTTCGTGCCTATTGGGCTTCTGGCTGAAGGTCACTGCAGAATGTCGGGAACATGTGACCAGATCCCTTAGTACTTAATGGTCTTGTGAGATGGCCTGTGATCCAGTCAGACACCTCACTTTGCTCTCAGCCCCTTCCCGGGAATCTGTCGGCGAGCCCCTCAGCGTGTGACATTTCTGTCCTACAGAACATGCATCAGGGCTATTTTTACTTAAGAGGCTTATTCTTTCATTTAAAGTATTTTTTTCTTGAGCTAGAACTTTGTTCCCAGTTGTCTCTTACTGTTTCTGTGTTGGACTCTCCCTGTGTGTTCTTGTTTTGAATTAGAAGGAGGTGGCAGTGACGCCTGTCCTAGCTCCCTGGAACCAACTCCCTGCTCCGAGCTCCCTGGTGGTAGCCCGCAGTCCCTGAGCATAGACCAGCTGTCCGTGGTGTCAAGCACACTGGGCAGCAGCAGTGTGGACCAGCTGAGCACTGAGTCACCTGACCAGGAAAGCAGCCTTGGGGGCAGCGGGGTGAACGGTGTCTTGCTGGAAAATAATGATCCTGAAACATTTAGTGTCCTGGAGGTGCCTGAATCTGTCCCTGATGTACTAGATGAAGAAGATGATGTTGCCACTGAACTTCCACAGTGTCATCGTGCGTGTGAGCCGGAGCTGCTCCCTAGGGTGTTGACATTACCCTTGCTCCTGAGGGACAGTGTAGAAGACGGCCATGACCAAGGACGCGAAGAATATCCTGGTCCTGGGAATGTTGACCTCAGCCACAGACGGGTGCCCTGCCCAGGCCAGGCCAGCTCTGCCCAGACCCCCAAAGGGAACACAGAGGCTGAGAGCCCCCAGAGCCCTTCTCCAGAACCCCCGCTCCTGGACTTGCTCATGGCGACTCCCAACTCCAGCTGTGCCCCGAGGGCAGCATCATGGCTGCCGAGCATCGGAGCCAAAGAGGGAGGTGCCCAGCAGGCCAGCAAAGAGCAGGACGGCCCTGGCCACATCAGCACAGACCCCTGGCCTGCTGTCTCTAATGATGACACAGGGGACAAGGACACACCCATGTCCAAAGGTGACGGCAGCGGGGGGACACTGGTGGCTCCTCTGATGACCACCTCGGCGGCTGGTATCCAGGAGCCTTGGATCGAGCCACCTTCCCAGGAGCTGGCCCTGACGTCTAGTGATGAGGAGGACATCTATGCCCACGGGCTGCCGTCCTCATCCTCAGAGACGAGTGTGATGGAGCTCAGAGCCGGCTGCTCCCTGCAGGACCTGAGCCAGCCTGGGACAGACGACCCCACCCTGCTCAAGTCGGATCAGGTGAGTGGTGTGGACAGTCAACCAACATCAAAGGCTGCTGCTCACTGCCCTTTTCTTCTTTCTTTCTATGTTTTGGCAGTACTTGGCTGGACCGAGGGGTGCTTTATCATTGAGCTATATCCCCTGCAATTTTTTTTTTTTTTTTTTTTT